CGAAGCGCAACAAGCGCCGGGGACCACCGACGTCCAGCGCGCTCGGGGGGCCTCAAGGCGCCGCATATCATCACGGGCGAAAGCCACGGGTCGCCGACGCACCTCGACCTCGTGTCGCCGTCGGATGCGAAGCGAGCACGGCAAGACCACCTCGACGTACCGACGTCGAGCGCTGCCAAGATGAACCCGAGCATGGAGAGCGTCCTGAGCTGGACGGGCTCGGTGGTTCAGGGGCTCCAGCACCTCGAGTGGCAACCTATTGGGTTTGAGACCAAACCGGACGGCTCCATGGACCGCGACCGGCCCATTTACCGGTGCCCGGCGTGCTGGCGCTACAAGGACACGCTCACATTTGACACGCAGCAGCACGACGCCAAGTGCCTCATCGCCAACCTCCTCTTGACGTACGCGACCGAGACGGTCCACCACTACGACGCGCTGCTCAAGCTGACCGACAAGCTCCAAGAGCGAAGCGGCAACAAGGGCTTTGTGGCACCGAGTACGACCAGCGGCACCGCCAAGAGCAACGGCAGTAGCAACAACGCCAACAGCAACAACAACAACAACACCAATAGCAACAATAACGGTCCGACGCCGCAGAGCATGCCCATGTATGGCAAGCCACCGACCGGGATGGCGTCGTCGGCCGCGGCGACGGGGCCGCCGCAGCTGCAGCGAGGCATCACCGACATGGTCAACTCGCTCGACGTGCCACCCAACCTCTTCCGTGGCAACTCGTCGAGCCTCGCGGAGTTTTCCGAGCTCCTCGACGACTCGAATGGCAACAGCTTTATGGCGCCGACGTCGTCGGAAGTGAGTTTGGCCATCGAAGTGCAAGTGTACTGCGTCATTGCGCGCATGTCGGCGCTCAGCAACAACGCGTACGCGGGCTTCCCGGCCTTTGACATGGGCCTACACCTCCTCGGGTTCTACCAAGAGTCGCAAGACACGTCGACGACGCAGATTGTGTTTTGCCCGATCAATGACGTGCATGGCATCTCGACGTACGAGGTGCAGCGGTTCCAGATGATGGTGCGGCAAGAACTCAAGGAAGAGAGCAAGGCGGTGTTTCGACTCGACCGGTTCTCGAACGACCTCAACAAACTCAAGGAAAACGTCATGTTTTTCTACTGGGAAACCAACAAGGAGCGCCAAGTGCCCCAGTGGGTCATGTAGAAGGTAGAAAGAGTAGGAACACAAGAATGGCATACACGTTGCAAGAGACTTGAAATGCACTGTTGTGTTATTTCTAACTACAGTTTAGCATGGCTGGCACACCGCCTAGTGGATAAATAAAGACTCGATGGATCATTTTGAGAGAGCTATCCCTCGACGAGTGGGGTCTGTTACTGGCAAGCGAAGACTACCTTGATTACAGGATAGATCGCCCTGCACGCAGCGCGCTCTTGACGATGCGTACGCACTCCCACAACTCCAGGTGAATGCTACGTCGGTCAGGGAACTCTTTCGAGGTATTCACGGGTTGTCGACGCTAAACGTCTTAGATAGATAGATGGATAGATTGTCAACAGCTCGTCGAGAAATGTGTCGTTGGGTTAAACCTAGCCCTAACCTAGCCCTAGACCGAAAGACGTGGCAGCGCCTTTGTGTAGAAAACGCGGCGCCCTGTCCCGCTGTCAGATGTGTTTTCTTGCGCCGCGTCGCAATGGAATCGGAAAAGAAAGAGCTGTGAGGGCTGGCGCTTTGGACGCCGGTCGCTCGAGATGGGTGGTGCACCGACGAAGTGATTCTTTTCTTGTTGCTTTTTCCCTCAGATTTGAATTGGCTTTGGAGTGCTCATTATGTTCAACATGGCCCACGACCGCGATGTCCTCAACGGCATGACGTACTACGAAGTGCTCAAGCTGGCCAAGACGCACCACGTGCAGAGCACCAAGTACCGCATGAGCAAGGCGTTTATGATCAACGCGCTCTTGGGCATGGACCCCAAGAGTAACGTCGACTACCTTGACTGCGAAGACAAGATTGCGGCGGCGCACGATTTTCGCCAAGTGCAGGACGAGGTTGTCCCTTTGCTTCTACACCTTGTACGATGGATGCACTAGGTCGAAGAGTACATTTTCCAGCACAACCTCGGCTCGAGCGACGTGCTCTTGATCTCGTGGAACATCTCGTCCATCAACCGCGTCGTCCAGGCGCTCAAGGTCATGACGGACGCGGTGCCGCACTGGTCCAACACAAAGAACGCCGGGACAGTGACACACGAGCAGCTGCTGGACGAGCTCATGGCGTACCTCTGCTTTGGCATCGAGCGCGTCGGCCGCGTCATGGTGATGCCCGAGACGCCCATGGAGTGGCTGCTTTTGGGGCAGCGCCTGCGCGACATCTCGTACGACCGCTTCATGCAGGACTTTGCGCGCTTCCCCAACGCCTTTCCGCTGGCCACGTTTACGCAGGTGCGCGCGTCGCACTACACGGCGCTTCCGATGCTTCCGATGCCGTTTGGCGCCAACAGCTTGTTTGAGTGAACCATGGGCGACCTCCGTAGCGTGCTGCAAGGAGGAATAACCGTATAGTAATCACTGCTACTGGATGGTTTCGCCTTCCGTCAGTGGTTGCCCGATGTGCATACAGTATCAGCGATGGACTCGTGGCGGTGGACGGCGAGGCGCTTCGGACCTACCCCTAGCGTCTCGTCGCGCGTGATTGTCGCGCGTTGTGCAGACCGTCCGATGTCCGGACGTCGCAGAGTAGCTCATGTATTTCGGATGCACTAGCTAGTGTCTGTACTCTTGGGACAGCCTACCGGCGCCTCGAGGTCCTGCGATGCTCGTCCGAAGCCAAGTGCGAGTATTTTAACGCTTAAAAGCTTAAACGACCAATCGAATCTATTGGACATTCGGATCGCTGGCATGAGCTTGCTATGTACACTGTTTGATTCGTGCGGACTAGGCCATCGACGCCGCAAGGGCCAGCGCCGTGAACACGAGGCCTGCACCGGTGGCGGTGGCGCTGCTGGCTACCGCGGTGGGTGTGTTGGTCACCAACTCGGATGCCTTTGTGGTGCTCGGAGGTGCTGGTGTGCGCAAGGACGTCGTCGTTGGGGCGGTTGTCACGTCCTCGGGCGTTGGGCTGGGTGTCACAGCCTTGGGCGTTGGGCTGGGTGTCCCATCCGGCGTGGTTGACGAGCCGCTGGATGAGTCGCTGGCTCCGTACGCAGCGGCAATGGTAATGATGCCTTTTTCTGCGTCCATCGAAGGAAAGTCTGTCGAGGCGATGCCGCCGATGGAGCATGTCGGCTTGAAGGCCGCAACCGCCGCCGCCGTTTTCTTGTACAAGGCCTCGCAATTGGCGTTCTTCCACGTCTTGCCTCCCTTGCCGTTAAGCGCA